ATCAATTTTTATGTATATTGTCTGTCTTCAAACACTAGAATATATACACATGGATTTAAGGACCTTATCTATCCTGTTAATCCCTGTATACCCAGCCATTATACAATCTAGCATGTCATAGGTATTCATATGTATTTATTGAATAATGAACCAGAGTTGTGGTCTCTTGTTTATAAAGCATACTTTTTAAAACTTCACCAAACAATCTTATGAAAAACAGCATAAAATAGCTAATAATATCTGACTGGTTCTAGCCAACTACAGGTCTAGTACAGACACTACCTAATTTATGCATTTTTAATTAGCAAAAATATCTGGTGATTACTAATAATGTTTTAAACTCCTTGACATGTATAAATAGCCAGTGCTTCCTTTGAATGCATTAAGGAAGAGGAAAATCCCTAAATTCTGTTCATTTTAGAACCAGATACTGCTGATTGTTCAAGAAATATCCATTCTCACTTTCACAATGAAAACCCTAGTTTAGTTGGGATGTGGCAAGTTACCTGGTTAAACATATTTACTTTCTCAAAACCCCTGCGTCAGAGTATAGCCCTGTGACACAGTTCTGGCACATGAGACTTTAGTTGAGGTTTCTGGAAAAGTTTTGCTTCTTCGCCATAGTTTTTTTCCCCTTTCTTTTCCCACTGTTTGTTCTGTTTGGGCAGACCCAATGCCTGGAGCAGCAGCTCTCTGTAGACTGTGAGTTTAAAACTCTGAGAATGTGAAACAAAATGAAAAGTGCCTGTTGCTTATTGGTGTCTTTATTCACTGTTCCAATTCTAGACATTTCTTTTCATGACATAAACAAATCTCTATGTCATTGAATGCTAATTTGTCTATTATTTATTGCCAAACACTTTCCTACCTGACACAGCTTGGAACTTTGTGAGGAAAATATATCTTTAAAATGAGAGATGCAGACAGAACTATGCCTGTTTTTCCAACTCAAAAAACACTATCACCTCTAGGCTGGTCTCAATTTTTGAAAATAAAGCCATGGTAATGTGCTTTATAACCCTATGGGTTCATTTCATCAGACTTCAGTTAGCCTTCCGGAGACTCTCTGCTTTTGTAAGTTAACACTTGTTCTGAAGAATCATTTGCTCAATATACTCTAAAATGCTGTTACTTTTAGGGTTCTAATATGGTAACTTCATATACTACCATGGTACACTATATTCATATCTTCAAATTAGCCTCATTGTTAATGAAAATTGGACAAAGGGGGGAAAACTGTTAGTCATATTTGCCATAGTAAGAAATACAAAATGAAAGTTAATCTAATATCATTTTAATTTACTTCATCCAGAGTTTTTTCTTGGTTCCCAAGCTTCAAATTCTCTCCTTCACCAACTCTTCTCTCATGTTCATCTTCCTTCTATAGACAAAGTCTCCATGGCTAAATAACATAGATTATTAAACCCAAATTGGGAAGTGGCTGCACCAGTGTCTGTGTCCTCAAAATGAATGTCAGGGAAAGATCTACAATTAAGCAGTAACCACTTTACAAAGTGTCGTCAGGCGCTGATGCGTTCATGTAAGTTATCTCATTAATTCACAGGCCATTGCTCCATTACTGTGTAATTTATGTGATGTGCTTGCAAAGTTTACCACCTTAATTTTTTCTAAAGTGCTTCCTTTGATATTTGATTTTTCAGTATGTTATGATGCTATGAAAGCTAACAATTTTGTTAACAGATTTTGTATTTCGGCAACATAGACCCTTTTAAAAAATTAATTAATATACCTGCAGGGGCATTGAGGACTGGTTTTTGGAATCAGTGACTTAGCAAATAAATAAAAACATGTCTTCCCACAATCCCCTTACTCAGAGAAAGCAAATATTCAAACTCATATATGAGCATAAACACTTTAATATAAGTAGACATGCTTTTTCTATTATTCATTATACACTAAACTGTTTGCTTTTAGAAGTGGATGAAAAAACATATAAAGACTTTTAAAAATAATACAATATGCATGGCTTATTTATGAATTCATAAATCGATGTCATAATTAAATGAACTCTGTAATACTTACACTTAGGTTGTTTGCTATGGCAATATTCAGAACCAGTGCTTTCAAAACATCACTCAATTGTATATTACTTTTGTGATTTTAGGGTACTCCTCCACTATAGTTATTCAATATTTTTCTTTAAATGGACTTTAAATATATTCACACTTTGAACTTGCCTCATCCTAAGCAATAAAATTATAAAATCATGGATTTGGAGTTGTTGGTTATATATTTTTTCTAATACATATTATAATAGTATTTATAACTATAAAAATAAAAATGACCTGTCCCAGGCCAACCTAAAATTATCTTGTATTTCACAATGTAGAAAACATTGACATAGATTAAATTAAAATTAAAAGAAGATGGTAAGAAAACTTTTAAGAGCAGAAATTAGTCTGAGAATTTTTTAAAAATAGAGGTCCTTAGTTTGGACAACTCTGGGATGAAGAGAGGATTGCAAAGCTATTATCCAATAGAAAAATCCTGGCCTGGAATTCTGCCTGCCCTGCCACACTCTTTACCTCTTTCTTATGTGTAAGAGAATTTTCAAAAATCTGTAACTCCTTCACCTGACATAGTCTTTCTTATATTCAATGTAAACTATTGAAGAGGATCCAAAGTAAGTGCCAGGATGATGAGAAAAGTTGGGGAGGAACTGATGATATTTTATGAAAGAAAGAAACCACTTCAGAGATGACGCCAGAATGTTCTTCAATATCTGAATGGTTAAGATGTAGAAAAGGAGTCAAAGTTACTCAAGAGTCTTCAAAGAATAAAAGATGAAGAAATAAGGGTGCAGAAGGAAAGAGTTTAACATGCAAAAGAACTATCAGAGTCTTTTGGTTGGTACAGCTGGAGTTATTCAAGAATACGTGGCATGATCAATCACTTGTCTGTGATGTTGAAGAGGATTATGTATTAAACAAGGCTTGGATAGATGGTCTTTGAGGTTCTTTCTAGACACCAATTACTAAACGGTCTCTCAACTGGGCTAAGCACTGTATAGGCCTTATCTCATTTAAGTCTCACAGCATCTTAGCTTGTTAGATATGATTGTAGTCATTTTATAAATGAAAAAACTGTATCTAAAATCTGGTAGAGGTTGAATTTGAATCCAAGTGAGTGACTCAAAGCCTATCCACTAACCAATTATAATATTTTATAAATGTCGTCTAGAAAGCATAATGTTTTTGTTTTGTTTTATTTTGTTCTGTTTTGGTCAGGAAGTTCTTTGCCCATTCTGCCAAACTGAAACCAAATTGAACTCTTGAAACAAATTTGTTGTAAACTATAATTGTGTGAAAAGGAAGCTGAAAAGCCATTATGTCAGCTGGTTTCCTTCAAATTTTTGACAAAGTCAATACATTCCCAAGGAAAACTGAAACTTTTAATTGTGATCTCTTTGTGTTTGCGAGTGGAGAATAGAAGACATCAACATTCCCTAAAGAAAATTTATGCTTTAATTTTTTAATCTCTTTGTGTTTTTTAACACAAAGAATAGAAGAGTCCAGAAGTCATTCTGTTTATCTCCCCCAAGTGATGTTGCCAAATCAGCAAAAGCTTTGATTTCTTTTTGTTTGAATGAGTCCTTTTGAAAAGTATTTATGAAAGTTTCAGTTCAAGAAAAAGGAAGGGCAATTTTATTTTTTAGCACCTCAGGGTGTCTCAAATACTCTCAAGGGGTGCTGGGATGTTTGCCAAACACAAATAAATCAAATCACTTATAACAAATATGGGCCTTAATCAGATTTTAAGTAGACAGAAACTTAGAAAATAAACAATTATAGCAGATGGTCTAGAAACTCCAGAAAGTTGAGAGAGAGAGAGAGAGAGAGAAGAAGAAGAAGAGAAGAGAGAGAGAGAGGAGAGAGGAGAGAGGAGAGAGGAACTTGAATACTCATTTATACACATGTGACTACTTATCAATGGGTTTTGCATTCATTTTCTTGGGGAAAATATACTAAGGAAAATTATTGGAACCTCTACTTCATTCTTTTGTAACTTCATAAGAAAAAGTTTTAATCTTTATATTGTAAAATTCATCTTCAAAATTAAAAAGTCATTTTACTTCTCTGAATCTTTATATTAATATTTCACCATGGATTTCACATTTGATTTTTTTTTCTTCCTTTCTTAATTTTTTCTTTACTGGCTTTTGAGAAATCTTTTATTTTTCATCCATGATACATTTGAACCTTACTAATATCACCAATGTAAGAAACAAATTGGGCATTCTTCCATTCCCATTAAATGTTGTGGTTTAGATATCTTGCATTCAAACACCATGAATAATTAAAATTGTTCAAAAGGCCAGAACTTTGAATTAGCAAAAAGTTACATTCAACAAATGCATACTGTCTTATAAAACCTCGCTTTACACAAATGCTTAATGTTCTATAGGGGTGGAATTATCTTTCTTTTATTTTCATAATTCCTAGCAGAGTTGCTCCCTAGGGATAATCTCATAAGAAATAGTTGTTGAGTTAATGAATGGATGACTATATGTGTTAATTAATGGAGTTTCTTATTTTATGATATAGAAGATTTATATAAGGCTGATTATTTATTAAAGTGCAATAGAAAATAAATGGCCCAAATTTCAAGTAATAGTCAAAAAAGAGGGAATGGGAGATTTCATGTTTGTTGTTTTTTTTAGATTTAGCCATTTTTTTTCCCTTGATAACTAGAGGACATCCTGGGAAATACATATATCACAGCTTAGAAAATAAAGAGACTTCTGTAGTTCTATAAGTAACTGTTAGCATGTTGTTGGAGGGAAAAATATGTTTACTATCTAATATTGTGAAGTTTTGAACCAAGACAATTTACATTTCTTAATCATTTTGAAAAAAACACTGTGTTCTATTCTGTTTACAGAACAGATTTTAACCTGAAGAATTCATTAGATATTTCTGCTTAAGTTACGTACACACACACACACACACACACACACACACACACACACACACACCATATCTAAATTCTGTTTAATATTTATTTTTTACTTTTAAAGTGATTCTATTTACATTTGACATTAGAACTCAAACTTTATCAGTAGGACATCAAGGAGTTAAGCTCTGGCAGTATTAAAATTAAAACATTCACATGTCTGCAAATTTCTATGTAGTCAAAAAGAAAAATCACTCTAAAATAAATGCTTATTCTTTAATTGTTAAGTGACATGGAAAATTTGTACTTAGTTCTAAAGTTCAGTCAAGGAGGCTCCCAAGAAGGTGCATAGCTACTGTGTGAGTGTGCAGTGCAGAGATGCAAGATGCTTCCGGAAGTCAAGCAGCAGATTTCCATGGGATATTCAGAAAAGTTAAGAGTTCAGTCATTCCCAAGAAGGCTTCTTGCTGCAGACCAGTAATTAATGGTCCCACTGCTCCTCTCTTTCATGGGCGCCCTCTTCTTCTTCAGGGAATGCTGATTCATTCTGGCCTTTCAGATGCTTAACCCCTGAAATTATAAAAATTATGCAACATTTAAATGAATTTTATTTCTGGCCAAATTACTGCTTTGCTGCAAGAGATTTACAAAAATAAGTGGAAAATTTTCATGTGGTGTTTATGTGTTTTTCTCCAAGAATCTTAATGATGTAATCCTATATAAACCTTTTCATTCACTGAGGATTAAGAACACACCCAGCCAAATTTCCATTAGATATAGGGTATCTTTTATAATTAAAGCTGCTCCATTAAGGATTGCATCACAGCCTATTAAAAACCTGCTAACTAAAAATTCGCTCGCAGGCTCTTATTATAATTCGATGTATCATTTAGTTCAAATGTTGCTTTTGGCACTCCTGAATTCTATTACAACAAGAATCATTGAAACCCCTAGGAACAAGAGGGTGTGTGTGCCATCTCGGGGATTTACACACAGCCAATCACAGTCTTGTTAGTTTTCTTTAGGAACCTGAACATACTTAAGTGATTACAGCACTTTTCTATTCATGATTCTTCAATAACTCCCCCAACGACATACATAGTGGGAAAAATATTGGCATACCTTTGCCTGCTAGACAAGGCTTTTATGACCTGGTCTCTCCCCAATTGCCCCTGCTTTCACTGTCATTTTACTCTAGCAGTGCTAACCTACTATCCCCATTCCCTGATCTCCGTGAGCCCCCTAAGGCCTCCAAGCTTTTCTTTCATTCTCACTGACAAAACTTCTTTGTCCTACTCATGTAACCAAGAATTTTCATTTCAACTTTTAAGAAATGATTTCAATTCTTTTTCTCTCTTAGCCTACACTTTAAAGATTTTTTATTGTTGTTCTTTCTAACCTAATTGTGTATGTGCTTGAGACATTCCAGTAGCTGACTTTGGAATAACAGTATGGAGACTCCGTGGCAGAATTCGTCTTTGTTTAGAGGTCACCTGAAGACGATTAATGTACAACTTGGCAACAATCAGAACAGCATTGCCCGGCTCCCCAGGTGGACAACAATTCAAGATAACCATCGAAGAAAGATCTGTTCCCTGTGCTGCTTCCAGATACTCCTCATTCCATTCTTTTTCTTTAAAATCCCTCTATTCTCGCCTTAAATTTTGAAATGGTTTTAGGCTGGCCATTTCACCATCTGCCAGCCTTGGAATAAGATCACTTTCCTTCCTCTAAATCTTGCATTTGTTTATTTCAACCCACAAGCAAGAAATAGTAGAACTTGCAATTGGCAACACTCACACATCTGAGAATCTCCCACTCATCCTTTCGCTATCAGTTTGTCTCCTCTCTATGACTATCTCAGTTCCCTATATAGATTTAGCTAGGTCATCATCATATTTCCTCCAGTTCTTAGATAATTTCTTATATCAATTAACTTATAGAAATATATTTGTTTGCACATTTTTCTCATTAGAGCAAAGTCCTTGGTGTTGAGGAATATGTAATTTCACTCTGCGTTCCCAGGAACAGTGCCTAGCAAACAGCAGTTGTGATACAGAGACTGGCTAATGTCTGTTCATATTGTCACAGGCCCTAGAGAAGGACATGGCCAGGACTCAAGCACTCCTGTACATTTCTGAACAATATTTCTGAGAGTTAATAAAAGGTGTGCTTCCCCTTATCTCCTATGTACTCCCAGTAAGTAGCTCCAGGGAATCATTGACTTCCCTGTAGTCTATGCCCAATCAAATGAAAGACGCAAATCTCCATCTACTCCCTTTTTCTGAGTGGATATAAGTTTGAATAACATAGTATCAATGTAATCATAAGCCTTGTGATTTGTATAACTTTTGTATCAATGTAATCATAAGTTTTGTGATTTTATAACTTTTGTGTAATGTATGATGTCTTGGGCCTTGTAAACTCCCTTTACGGCAAGTTCGATTAAAGGCTTCTGCCGGGCCCTACTGATAAAAGCTATGAGATACCTCTGATTCCTGGCACCAGGAAGTCTGGACCGAAAAATGTCACTATTGATAAATGTGGCTGAAACTCAAGTTCTATACAATGAATGTCTTGCTGGTCACTTTGCTAATGTATAGGTATGTGACCAGCAACTCTGGACTTATAAAGGTGAACTATAAAAACCTGGAGGGTAACCAGAATCATTTTAGAAAGACCTCGAATCTGGCTCTGCTCCCTGGATTCAAACTTGGGAATAAACTTCTATCAGTTCCCTGCCCCTTTGATTTATTGGTATCAAGGGGAGCAGCCGAGCGTTACTCAGACCATAACAGTTGCTCTTAATGTTTACTGTCTAAATGATCAACTGAATTAATGAAGTAACCATTTAGTATATGCTTTTGGAAGTTCCATAATAACTGATCTTCAGGGTTTTTTTTTCTAAGATGAATTCAAATTTTGAGTATAAATCAGAAAGCAGCTACAACAACCACACTCAATCTATAAAAATTATCTTTTGCTTCCCTTGAGTCTATTCTGTTAGGACACCACACTAGCTAAAACTCTATGCATATAGTAATGCTTACTGTGAATTTTTTTTACATTTTCAAATTATTTTAAGAGATTTTTTTAAGTATTACTAAAAAATGCTCCAGTAAGAACTGATAAATGAAAGAAGTCATTGTTTATGTTTGCTCTGAAACAAAAAGACTCAAGAAATATGTGAATTTGCATGTTCTGCAGGCAGCAAGCCTCAGAGTACTATTTGGCAAAGAATGACAATCTTGAGCTTGGTGGGTAGTCTTGCAAAAATATTTTATCAGTTGTAATAATATTTAAGTACCTTAACTTCAACTGCAAACACAGATCACTCACAATTTCTGTTTATTTAAGGGAGAAATGTGTTTTTAAGAAATGGAACTTATTTTATATTATTATAAATTACACGGAAAAGAAGGTCTCAGGCTAAAAAAAAGGGGTTGGGGAGTTTATTGATCATATAACCAGTCACTCTGCTGGAGTCTTACATACATGCATCACTAAACCTTACAACAATTCCTTGAGGCAAAATTTAGATTTAGAGAAAATATGTGGTTTATTCAAGGTTATAAGAGTAGTGTGGTGCTAAGAGAACTTCTGACACATCATAGTCCTTTAATATATACTGAATGAATCAATGAATGAATGAATGAAGTCAAAAAGTTTCATTATCAGGAGACACCAACTCATTTTCATCTTTAGCTTTTTGGATGTTGACCCAGACTTTCCCATCATTCCTATCATTCTCTTTAGAATATTAAAGCACAATAACCATTCAGCCACCTGCCACTCTTCTTCCTGACCTGACGTTGACTATACCTCCGCAGGTTTGCAAACTGACTCCAGGGGTCAGCTCTTTCAGCCACATGGTAACTGCAGAGTAATGATGTTGTGTTTGAGACAATGTTCTTTAAATGAGAGTTCATGATCTAGTGCCCACACCCATTTGTCTAAATAAGAGGATCAAATGTAAAGAAAAAAATGGTAATTAAATATTCAATTTTTTGAACCACTGATCAACTACTTCCCACACTTGAATATAGGCCTACTTGTTTACCATGATCCATGTTAAATTTATTTTATAATAATAATTGTCACAAAGTTATATAAGAAAGTCAAACCTTTTTAAAAGTAAAATCACTTGAACAAACCTTGAAAAGCTACTTTCTTAGCCTTATTCAATTGTGACATTAACTATTTCCAAATGAAAACAGTTTGATGAGGCAGGAGCTGGTGACACGTTATCACAGGGCTGTTCTGCAGAATATCTACAAAAATTCTTGAGTTTCCAAAACTGCTTAATGTCATCTCTCAATTGGATGATGAATTATTGGTTAATCTCTGTCTTGAAATAGCCTTTAGGGCAATCCCTCTCCTTTCCTACCAGCAGTATTCATTTGGTTGTATATGCAACAATACTGAGATTAAAGTGTGAAGTCTGCTGAGGACTATCAAATAATTTCTTTCTCCCCATATCTATCTCGCACCCCCAAACATGTGCATTTCTTTAAACCTTAATTTGATGTTTGAGAAGGGTTACATGTGATGTAATTCTAGAGGTGGAGGAAAATAACTTGGTCTAGGGGTGTTGGTGAAATTCTTAGAGACTCTTCCTCTGCCAAATGCTAATGAGGAGGAGGAGGAAAACCCTCCACCTGTACAGAGGCTGTGGCTTGGCCCCTGGCAAAGAGACTCCAAAGGCAAGCACAGACTCAGTCAGGAATGGATGCAGCAGAAGGTAAAGGAATATCACAAAACACCATGAAGGCTCATTTCTTCTAGCAAAATCAGTACACAGGAAAAAGGATCACACATAAGACTAGGATATGTATCACGAAAAGGTGAAGGAATGAAGAAAAGAAAGTAGACTGAATAAAGGAAGAAAAGGGTCACTGATAATTGGACGCTGAACATTTTCCATAATACTATAAGAAAGGGATTGGCAGTAGTGGAATACTGCCAGGGGTGGGGGACACAACATCAATAAGGGTATCTGATCTCAAACCAGGCAAAGTGGGGATTAAAGGGAGACCCAAACTTTTCCTGTGTGACGACCACTTGTATACCTAATCCTGAATTGTACTCCACATCTTTAAAATAAATAAATAAAAGAAGAAAAGGAAAAGGAAGAAATGTTGCTGCCAATCAGAACATATTACATATGCTCATCCTTGTTCTGTAGAACAGGTGGTGAAATGCAGATTGGATGAAGTTGTGACATGACTGAGTGAAGAATTACAAATAGTGAGTCCATAGAGAGAACCTTATATGTGGCAAACCACCGGTTGATATTTTTAATCAATTAATTTGGAGCCAAAGAGAGCAGGTTAATTACATTTGCAAATGACCCAAAACATGGAAGAAAAGATGATATAATAAATGGCATCCAAAAGTCTCCAAGAACTGGAATGATGGTCTAAGCAATTCAGGTGGAGATCAACAGGATATTTGCTTTTAGAAAGATTATTTTAGTTCTGAAACAATAGAGTATAAGGGCAGCCTTGATTGGTTATAGTTAGGGTTATAGTTTAGGTGCCCACAATTTCACATGACCAAATAGGAGTTGC